GCTCTTTCTCACATATCTTAATCGCCAGCACACCAACATTAATATTCGCTTCACTAGTGAGGTTGAACGTGATGGTAAGCTCCCATTTCTTGACATTGACATATCCCGCTCCAATGGAAAATTTTCTACTTCTGTTTACCGTAAACCTACGTTTACTGGTCTTTTTACTAACTTCCATAGCTTCATTCCACTTACATACAAACGCCGCATAATATCTTGCTTAATACACCGCATCTTTAGCATTTGTTCTAGCTATGAGACTTTCCATCACCAACTTGAAGCAGCACGTAGAATGTTTATCTTAAATGGTTTCCCTTCTCATATGTTCGACCGATGTGTTAGAACGTTTCTTAACAAAGTATTTCAACCTAAGCTACCTGTTCATACTGTTCCTAAGAAAATAATTTATTTCTGTCTCCCTTTTACGGGCACTCACTCCTTGCAAATTCGCACGCAAATCAACCGTCTTTGTCGTGCTGCTTTCCCACATCTTGATATAAGATTTGTCTTTCGATCAACTAAACGGCTCTCAACCTTTTTCTCTTTTAAGGACAAAATACCCAAAGCACTGAAGTCGGGTGTAGTGTACTCTTTTACGTGTCGATGCTGTTCCACATCGTATGTGGGTCAAACCACGCGCCATCTACACACCCGAGTTTCGGAACATCTGGGTATCACTCCTATCACTGGCAAACAATGTAAAAATCCTCCCCAGTCCAGCATTTTTTCACATCTCACATCCACAGGCCACGCTGCTTCTATTAACGACTTCGAAATCCTCTCCTCTTGTTCAGATGAACAAGAACTCCTTATTCATGAAAGCTTTTTTATCTCTAAAATGAAACCCTCTCTCAACGTTCAAGGCAGTTCAATCCCTCTTCACGTATTCTGATCTCTTTTTTTTTTTTTATGTTTTGTCTGTTTGTGTTGTCTAATTTGGTTGTTCTCATTTTTGTCCGTCACTTCCCTTCATTATCCATTCTTATCCTTACGTTTTGTGTACCTCGTATTCGCTTGTAATTTAATATTGCTATAATAGCTTTACTTTATGCTTAATTACTCTTACAGCCTGTAATTTAATATAGTCTGAAGATGTCTTGAGTTAAGACGAAACGTTACTTAATCTTTAATAAAATTTTTAAATTTAATGGTTTATGGCTCTTTTAAAAGCACTTTGCTGGGCATTAATATTTATTATCAGAAATATAGAAGTCTTGAAAATGTAATTTTCCAACAACTTTATATTTTCTAATTGTAAACAATATTGCCGAAAATTTACAATTTTATATTTACAATATGTGTATTAATATACGGCAAAATGAAGGGTAGCTTAATTTAATCAGCATGCTTCAAAATTACATATTATTTCGCAAAAGATCAGGAAAATTTATCGATGCAACTCTGTTATTGTTTTGAGTCAACAGATGATGATTATTAATTTTGTGACGCTCTTTCAAGATGTGATGAAAGTTTTGTCCAGGCTAGTCTAGATCAAAATTTCACTTGAAAGGGGAAAGGTCTATTGTAGACTTTTAAATGTTAACCGTTGGTGGGAAAACACACTCTGCCCTAGGGTCTGCACATGGGCAGACTTGGTGCAAGTCTAACTAGAGCTGTCCACATGTGCTTTTTGCAGTTAATTTAACTAATATCTGATGTGTTTTAGGATTATTACCCGGTGAAATGTCTGCTAAGGCTATAGCGAAATGTTTTTGGCACCGTGAAGTTGAGGGGGAACTGCTGGAGCATAGTCTTCGAGAAGAATGGGTATTTTCATCATCAAAAGCCACACTTACTTCTGGAAACTATGATGATGCTATGGAATATTTTGACCGAAAAAGATCGAATGAAATCTATCCGCATCACTGCTCAGACCATTGCAAGGGGAAAGGTGAGATAACTTTTCGTACTGCAATTCTTATAATATGATATATATAATACATATGTGAACTATATTAAGAACAAAAAAAATGTTCTTTGTATCTTGAATGCTGATTGGCTAGTTGCAAAAGCTATGCTGAATTTCACTAGCTGTGGACAAGGGTGCAAGATTACAGCTCACAAAGGGTGCGATTAATGCTTAAATCGCACTCCATTGAAATTGCAGTACCACTGATTTCAGAAGATATATATGTAGTTACTTAAGAAAGTAGTCTGATTTAAAAGGGTTAATAAATATGTACTGTACTGTACTTTATTTGAAAGTACTTCGAAGTAAATAATCAAATCATTAAATGTGGATTATAGATAATATAAAAATTATGTGCATGAAGTATAATATATACTTGTCACCTAAATTGTGTAGGTTGTGGCCAGTTGTATGTCGCTGACGGGAACTGGAAACTTCGCTATGCCCATTGCATGTGGAAAGTTCCTGTTGAAATACCCGGATTTGGAAAAGTCATCAACTACCCTAGCATCTGTCCTCTCTCACCAAAAAGAGGACATGTGTTCTGCCCAGCTCACTGTGAGAGATCACAAGCACTTGGACATCCAACAGAGTTGAGGGAATTTTTTAAAAGGTGTGGTGTTGCTGAGCGAGATGTTGAAGAAGGTTTGTTGCAGAATATTGTATATTATCATGAACTGTTCTAAAGGGTTGCTAGAAGAAATTAAACCCACGCACTGTATTTATTCCTATTTTTTGTTCCATTGATTATTTTTTCTTTCAAATGAACTGAAAACCTACTTTGGATTGACATTATGAGACTGGCTGTAAGATGTCTAATTGCATTTGGTTATAGTAAAGAATGTAGTGTATTACATGAGAGGCTAGTTTTACGAGGTTTTTCTCGACTATGTTCGAAATACCTATTAAGTATAATACCTTTAAGACTAAATTTATCAAGAGAATAGTCAATTGGTTCCTTAATTCAGTTTTCAGTATACATTTCTGAAAATGGTGATGGTGGTCTTGGTATTCATTATAAGCAAATAAAGCAATTTATTTTATTATTACTGTATATTCTTATACATTTTAGTTGTGAAAGAAATATCTTTAGACGTTTCATTAAGTGGTATGTTTAATTAAATTAATCTTGAAACTGATTTACTGTAATTGATTTTGCACTGTAGCCTCAGTTTTTTGTGAGCAGTCAATAAAATAGCTTTGCTTTACATGTTTTAGATACTAATCTCGAATCTGTCAGCAAGTGTTTGGATGAATTTGCTGACAGCGATCTGAACGAAAGTAGAGATAACGCTTCTACATTTCAAGGTAGAATAACTTGGGTTCTTGCAAACTCAAATATATATTTGCGTGGAGACAATTAACAATTAAAATACTTGTTGGAAAACGTATCTGCACATGAAATTCAACCATTAAAAATATCAATTTATTATTTCGATATATTTAGGATGATAATATTTAATTTATGGAAGTACAAGACCTTCCAGGTCAATCGTATGCTAATTAGAAATTTTTGAAATTTAAGAGCGGTTGTCTGTAATAGTCAGGTAAGACGTGTAAAATGAGAAAATTCAAACTCGTTCAAACTTTGTCAGAATATAGGCCTATATGAAGTATTAATGTTGTGAAAGTTTTATTTCAATTGGATAAATATTGAAGGAGAGAGACGTCGAAATTGGTTTTCCCAGGCCACTTTCGATTTTTAGAGGTAATTTTACGGCACTACCAAAATGCGCGTTAATGGGAATATTTCACAAAACATGATTTTGTTTTATAAATTAGAGATATTTATTGATTAGCAGACGAAATTTAAAGACATTTCTGTGAAAAGTGAATATTTTACAGATTTTCTTAATGTTTTTTATTTTCGAACCTCCTTATTATATGCCATATTTGGCAGCGAATATCTCCATTGTTACATCAATTCAGACAAAAAATTCATAACCAGATCAAAGAAATATGTTTTCCCTTGCTATTGATCAAATAAAATTTTTGGGCAACTTAGAATTGAATTTTTAACGATCAGCGTCGAGTCATGTAGTTCAATAAATAACCAAAGAGCTCGTCAAAAGCGTTTATTTCTTCGAGTAAACAAGCCTAGGCCTATAAAACTACCTTTGCTAAAGCTGTACGATTGGCTGAAAGCATTTAGGTCTAAATCACACTGTTTACAGTCGCTTCTTGTTCAGGTAATGCCCGATAGCCGGTGCCGCTGATTTGGCAGATTTGGTTTCAATTATATTTTATCAGGGATATGCCGCGATAAGTATAGCGAGTATATTTTCTCTCCCCCTCCCATAAACTCGTGTTCTCACATAAATAGTGCACACGCTTTTTGCAAAAAACATAGGCCATTTGCAAGGTCATACGATGCAAACGTCGCATTGTTTTGACGTTTTTTTAGTCGTATTTCCGGTTGTGATAGCTCACGCGATTGTCTGAACAAAAATATAGACTAGCCATACCTTTCGCCGAAAATAACTTCGACCCCTTCAAACATATCGTCTTTGTAATAGTCTTGTTCGAATCCCCATCAAAAACACTATTTAGAGTGTTATTTGCAAGCCTGTATCTTCAAATTTGCATCTTTTATCACGGTATTTCCATTTCTTGTCCGGCTGTGAGCTCGAGGCTCGAAGTAATTTGATAGTATACGATCACATTTGACTTTCAAACTCCCATAAATCGCTACAATGTTAATAATGACTATAACTATCGTTTGGAATTAGTTGATCTTTTATTTCTGAATCGAATGGTGGTATTTCTGTCTTCATAGGCATAGCATGTACTGATCCGAAGATATGAAATTTCTAGCCGCGTCAACCTCTCGAGAACGACCTCGCAAAGAGTTTTAATTTAATTAATATTAAAGCTGGATTCTTTCACCATCACGTCATGCCAAAAGGTGTCTTTTCCATTTGTTAAAATGTCCTTTAAAAAAGATCCCGGCTCTATATATTGTGATTGGGTAATATTAATTACAGTTGTATATTTGATTATTTTGTTAGTGCTCAATAAGTTTGAATTTGTTCTGAGAAAACAGTCAAACTTCAGACCAAACTTCTACGGCTTATTTAGTAGTTTAATTAACTGCCCATCACTTTTAAAACAGCAAGAAGATAAAGACAACGTGTACGGGTGAGTTATCCATGAAATAAATAGTTGGTTTACAAAATGAATTCCGTCTTTGTGGATAAAAATTAGTTATAAATAATCTGTCCTGTATGTGTTAAATGTTACATGCATGTATAGGGATTTCCCCCAGTATATTCCTTCTCTTTTGTATGCCTGTTTGTGATTATTCGTCTCTTGTCACTGAGTGGTCATGTGGTGTCAGCAACTCTAATCCAGCCGATTCAGAATGCGTTCTTCGAATGATTGCAATAAAAGAAATCAAGGCACACCTGAGGTCGCACGATGTCTGCTTGGCATGGATTCCAGTTTGAGAACAGTCTGTGGTCTTGTCTTCCACCTGCACGAGCCGATTATTTCATTATTTTCTATCTGACATATACTTTTGATCCAATTTCAATTAAATTTATCCAACCATTTCTGGATGATACATTTACAACAGGCAGTACTCAGGCCAAAGAAAAGTCAAGAAAGGCAGGCCAACTTTCCCAGAGGGTGGCCCGGAATGGTGGAATTTTGCAACGTGTTAAATATTAAGGAATATTCTGAAAAATTAATTTATATAATTAGACTGAGTTCCTTATCAGCATTTTGAAATATCCCTGTTACAGATAGAGTATTACTGCCAGGACGTGCCAAGCGATATCTGGTTGGGGGGGGGGGATATTGAACTTAAAAAATTTGGGGCCCTTCCTTTTACGGGGCCCCCTCAAAATGTTTTCTGGTAAGCAAAAATGTTACAGTAAAATGTAAAGGGTGGGAGGGGGGTTTGGTTGGGGCGACGTTTTTTGGAAAAACGTTCCAAAAATTATTTTTGCATGCGATAATGGGAGGTTCAAAATACTTTCCAGACCTTTATCGACCTCAATTTCAGAACACGTTGCGCAATTCCAGCATTCCGGGGCCCCCTCTGTGAAAGTTGGGCCCCCTTTCAGGTTTTTCAGGTTGAGTTTTTTGGCCTGAGAACTGCCTGAGTGTTCTAGATGTATCATCCAGAAATGGTTGGATAACTGTAATTGAAATTGGACCAAAAATATATGTCAGATAACGCGTAACCACAAACAGCCATACAAAAGAAAAGAAATATACCGGGGGAAATCCCTACATGTAGCTTAACACATACAGGAGAGATTATTTATAACTCATTAATTTTATCCACGAAGACGGAATTCATTTTGTAAACTAACTATTTATTTCATGGATAACTCACACGTACATGTTGTCTTTATCTTCTTGCTGTTTCAAACTGAAGTGATGGCCAGTTAAAACTACTAAATAAGTAACAGTGCGTAGAAGTTTGGTCTGAAGTTTGACTAAAGTTATTGAGCAACAACAAAATAATCAAATATACATACAACTGTAGTAAATATTACCAAATCATAAATGAACAGAGGGTCTTTTTTAAAAAATTAGAAAAGACACCTTTTGGCATGACATCACGGTGAAAAAATCCAGCTTTAATATTAATTAAATTAATTACTGTAAGTAAACGAATTACAATTTCAACGTAAACTGACAGATGTTTTTGACAAAAAGCGCGTGCACTATTTATGTTCGAACAGTTATAAGCACGACGAGTCGTGAAAGAACAGATGTTTATGGGAAGGGGAGAGAAAATACACTTATCTTGCTATACTTATCGCGGCATATTCCCGATAAAATATTAAAACCAAACCGCCAAATCAGCGGCGCCGGCTATACAATATATTACAGGCATTACCTGAACAATAAGCGACTGTAAACAGTGTGATTTAGACCTAAATGCTTTCTGCCAATCGTACAACTTTAGCTAAGGTAGTTTTATAGGCATAGGCTTGTTTACTCGAAGAAGTAACGCTTTTGACGAGCTCTTTGGTTATTTATAGAACTACATGACTCGACGTTGATTACATAACATACGGTTATTCGGGTCAAATAGGGGTTACGAAAAAATTCGTCAAAAATTCAATTCTAAGTTGCCCAAAAATTTTATTTGATTAATAGCAAGGGAAAACATATTTCTTTGATCTGGTTATGAATTTTCTGTCTGAATCGATGTAACAATGGAGATATTCTCTGCCTAATATGGCATATAATAAAGAGGTTTGGAAATAAAAAAACATTAAGAAAATCTGTAAAATATTCACTTTTTACAGAAATGTCTCTAAATTTCGTCTGCTAATCAATAAATATCTCTAATTTATAAAACGAAATCATGTTTTGTAAAACATTCCCATTAACGCGCAAAATAGAGCGATTTTGGTTGTGCCGTAAATTGACCTCTAAAAATCGAATCTGGCCTGGGAAAACCAATTTCGACGTCTCTCTCCTTCAATATTTATCCGATCGAAATAAAACTTTCACAACATTAATACTTCATATAGGCCTACATTCTGACAAAGTTTAAAAGATTTTGAATTTTTTCATTTTACACGTCTTACCTGACTATTACAGACAACCGCTCTTAAAACTGACACTTAGCCAGGAACATATGTTTTTTTCTGGAAATACTGTAAACTGTTGAGCCCCCTCTGTAATAAGCCACCCCCGCCCTCAAAAAAAAAAATTTAAAAAAAAGTAAAAATCAGTCAGATTTCACTCTAATTACCTGTTATGTAAGAACCATTTTAGCCATACTTAAAATATAGTCAGAACTTTACTGCATTGTAGTAATGCATGGTTTGACCCTTCTAAATATATTTGTTAATTTGGCAAATTCTATTCAGCAGTTTCTCACAATCATATGTTTATTAAAGGGGAAGTCAAGTCCGTAATGTAAACAAACGGTTTGTTTACATTTTGAACTGCTGTATTTTTTAAAATATGATGTACTGTCTGAATATTTAACACCATTTTGGTTCGTTATGCTTCTACATGAATATGAAATAGAGTTTGTGTTCAGAAAAATTCGAAACATTCAAAATTTGGGCAATGTTTACCTCAGAGGGCCCTCTATTGTTATGCGCAGAACCGATGCGCAGAACGGACTTGACTTCCCCTTTAAATATATATTTAGGCACATCTGAATTTATTCACAAGAATCCCACATTTGTTGAAAACCTGGCGGCCCTGGAGGATATTGCATGCAATAAGGATACAGGTGTCTTGAAGGCTTTCCAGTCATGGTCTAGGGGCCTGTTCTTTATTGTAAGTGCTGGCGGCCACATCGATTATTGGCAACCACTGTACAGGTTTGATACATGTTCTATTTTTGTTTCAATGCAGTTACAAAATCTGTTTTTACAGTAATTTACAGCTTACTGAATCCAAGAGTGTATATTGGGATTTTACTAACAAGGGCAGATTTAGTGGGGCGGAGTTAACCCCCCTCGATTCCAGCAACATTTCCATCATTCCTCCATTTTGTGTGAAAGTCTTTAACAACATTTTTGCGTCAAATGGCCAGAGAAAGAAAGCAGTTGAGCTGATATATTCGAAATTATCAAATACACCAAGAGTTTTATGTATTACACTAAACAAGGTAAACATGTGATTGCAAGTTATTAAAGATGCAATTGCAGTGTTTATGACATGTACTGTATTGACAAAATGTCTAAAATAGTGTCTAATGGCTTTAATCTTCTTTTAACCCATTTTTGTTTTAAGATAATGATAGAATTATTTTTCATCATAGAGATGTCTAATCCCACTGTCCCACATCCACAAAACCTTCGGGTGGCTGCATTTGCAGCGCCCACAGTGGCGCTGTATGAACCCCACTAAGAATTATTCTACCCCTCCTGTTTAAAAAAATGAAAATCCACCCTTGTTAAAAGGGCAATGTCACCGATTTTTTTAATAAAAATGCCTTTTATTCAAAAACTGAAGTGAAATTTTGAAAACAAACACTGTAAATGGACTCAGTTATATTAGACGAATCTTAAACAACTTTTAGCTTCCATGCAAAATGTAAGATGACATCTTCTTACAAATTGACCAAAACTTGAAAAAGTGTCTGCCAACAATTAATCAAGTTGCTATTTACAATCCCTCTCAATCTTCGCCTAATCTTGCCCATCCGTACTTCTGTACATGTTTTTTTGTGTCTGTTATTGCTTTATTTTGGGCCTACCTTCCTTTTATTTTCAGTTTTGGGCAACATTTGCGAGGGCCAGATTTGCTCAAGAATTTGTGACATTGCCCTTTCAATCCATTTCAGTTGTAAATGCATGCGAAGAGGTTTAGGTACAGTGTAGTTTGCTTCATGAAACGTTTCCATTGTAGTTATAGAGAGACTTTGTTTAGAAGAAGAGCTAAATTAATTAAATTACTCTTTTCGACTTTTGTAGATCTGAGTCGCCAACGCAGGCATTCCTTGTAACCATACTTTGGCTGTATCGCAAGTTTAAAGTTATGAAAGATCACGGAAGTCCTGACGATGATATTATGGAAGCCATGTCATCGCTTTGCTTGGCATATGATAACATGTGTCATGTTGACAGCCTCCTCATCTCAAAGGATGACTTGCCATTGCCAGCACCATTCAACAAAGCATGGAAAGTAATTTCAAAGGTAATTGACTGTCTACACCTTAGAAATCACGTGGACCCCAAGTGCAAGAAGCTTTATAACCCAGATGATAAAGTACCACCTGCTTTTAACACTATGGCATGCGAACAAACGTTCATTTGGGCAAGCAGATTTAAGAAAATAATATGTGCAATGCCTCATGTGCATCAATTCTTTTTTTTACATCGACTTGTTAAGTACCGCAATAAGTACACGGAGAAATGTCATCACCACTGCAAGGTCCCAGTTCTTCCCAAGGTTGGGAAGAGTTCAACAATTCAAAGGTAGTTGTTTCTGCCAACACCATAGGCAGCACTCTATTTGTAAATATACTTTTAATTATACTTGTAAATATATTGCTGCTAGTACAACATTATTGTAGATATACATGTAACTTTATCGGTATCTTTATTAACTAAAAAGAAACAACGACTGGACAATTTTAAGGTAGGAAAGTTGTAGGAGAATTTTCCTTCGGAAAGAAAGTTTTTGCGAGAGCTTCGTGAACTGGCGCATTCTCGTACCCAGAGCCCTTCTTACGCGTGGTGCGACGAGGGACTCTGGCCAAATCCATATCAAACTGGCATCTGATTGGCTACAACGAACGTTATTGTTCTAATACCGGATATATTCCATGATATATGGATAGTTTTTATGGTATCCGGTTTTGGATTTGGCCAGAGCCCCTCGTCGCACCGCGCGTAAGAAGGGCTCTGGGTACGAGAAGGGAACCGGCATTGCTAAAGTTTTCCTCCGTCTCCTACGGGATCGTAGCACGGAAAACAGAACAAGACACTCATTTGCAAACATTTAACCGCGGTTATGTATCTACATGTTTTATGTGCTGCTTGTTCTTAAGCCCAATAGCAAACCTATCCTTATAACACTTATGATGCACGAAATATGAGGAAATACCCCATGCATGGGAACGAGGCAAAAACGAGGCGAGGTCATTACGGAAAATGCAATAAACTGTAAAGCGAATTACAGTAGAAGGGAACGTCGATTATTACATAGTAAAACTCTTGTTATGTACATTATATAACTCCATGTCATTTACATTCCTTGCACATAAATATATTTTTTTGTCGCAAGGCTTCTTTGTAGGTTCCCATCCCAGCACATGTGTAGTGCGCCCATTGACTGCATTTCGTGCACATTATCATGCGGGATGTCGTCCTCTTGTCGCACAAGTTGCAATGGTTCTTTTCTTCATCTGCGGGCGATCCTTTTTCAATCAAGTCATTTCCAATGCCTAAAACGAATAGGCACAAGGCTTGTGAACTTTCGTCCGGAAGCAAGTTTAGTGTGTCGGTTTCACAAAAATGAAATTCACACATATTACGAATTTCGTCTCAGTGGCCTGTACCCACTGATCAGTACTTTTATGGTAAGGTGCCCGCAGTACATATGTGGTAGGTTGGCCTTGTAGCAGTCACTATCATGCGTCACAGATGGGCGAAAGGTAAGAGGAGCAAATTTTAAAATTTCAAAGTGGGCTAGGCTGTCACCGAGTCTATATGAAGAACCTACCTGAGTCATCCAGTGACTGCATTTCTGTATCCTCCTGACTTTCTGGCTCCACTCTATGACTATGTTCTAAAGAGAAAAAGTTTGAATATTGATTGTAGAATGGATGTAGGTAAATATTTTTCCTTGTTAACGATTTATGCTAATCACAGCAATATGCTTTTGGTATTGCTTTATTGTCCCTCTGCAGCTTGCACAACACATAAAAGAATAAGACTGGAACCCTAGGTATGACGTCAGCTGTGGCTGTTGCGTGCACGCAACACCAGTTGTAATCAGTTCCAACAATTACTCACCAATAGCTTGCATTAGTGTTGTAGCAACAACACTCAGCCCGGTCTTATTGCTCAATGCAGTTGTCGACGAGGATGGCGTCTCTTCTTTCTCCTTCATGCTGGACTCTAGTTGTTTCACCCTTGCTTTCAGAGCTTTCACTTCGTCCAGAAGGTTTTCGTTCTCCTTCGTCAACGACTGCCGCTGTTCGTGGAAGCTTTCTTGAAGCTTGGTCTTGCTTTCGAACAGAGCTTTCGAGGAAGCCTTTTCGTTCGCTAGCATTTCCCTTGTCTCTTCAAGCTCTGCCGTCAAGGCGTCTAACAGATCATTGGTTGCTTCGTCGTTGGCTTTGACGTTTTCGTCTTCTGGCACTTCATTTAGAGTCAATCCAAAAACTGAAAAAGACGGAGAAGATTACACGACTATTCTAACGCTATGTCCGTATTATTTTACTAACAGGTATAAGCAAAATAAACATGATCTATTAAAGTCTGTAAAGTTCCACCAGTATACATACACGAATCTATCTGTTGAAGAACATCTTCACTTAATGCGGTCCTGGGTAATTTTACGCAACAAATCTTGTTCGTTCTCCCTTCAAACGTTGACCGGTGATTCGAGTTTCCCCCAGGTGTCTTCTTGATAAGTTCCCGAATATTTCCATCGGTCGGCGCAGGAAGGGAAGCTTTTTCTATGGTTGCTAGTGCTGTTGGCAACACGAAAACAACAAATTCGTGGTCCTTGCCTCGGACAGAGTTCCTCATCCATGTTTTGAGCTAATAAGAAAATTGGTTATTATGGCAGCTGATATAATACGTGGTTTATGGAGAATATAATTGTGTTGGTTGTAGTCGTTTGGGGGAAGGTGCAGGTATCGACTATATCGTTCTGTTTTATTGCTTGATGACGATAAAGGCTCAGACATTGAATAATCCAGTAACCCTTTCGACAATTACGTCACTCGTCTTGACCTAGGATTCCCATTTTCATGTTTCAAGACGAAAGGTGATTCGCTCTATCCTCATGCCCATGCAGGTCTCATTTGACCTAAGGCCTGGGCACGAGGATAGATTCCTCAGTCGCCCGCAGAAAGACCCCTGGTAAGGAGGTTGCTCACGATTCATAAAAACGGGTGCTATCTTCATGTCACACGCATGATCGAATATATTCTCTTTCATCATGACCCTATTAACGACTCAAATCCTAACCATCTAACTATTAAATTCGTGGCGAAACACGAAGATGTAACCTAAAAACGTGCTAATTGACGCAATTATGAAAGGGTTGTTGGGAGAAATCCTCTTATTCTATCCCATATTCTATCCTATTCAATCCTATATTCATCCACGTTAAACAATAGCCACATGCATATAGGAACAAGATGCGATTACCTTTTCCGCATTCATCTGCAAACAGCTGATTGCTTGAATCAACAAGTTGAAGAACTCCTCGACACTGCTGAGAGTTTTCACGGTGGCATCATAGAACGAGCGAACATACGGCAAGAACGTCTCCATTAGATATGCGTCAAATGATTCACCACTTACCACTGAATTGTCGTTGACAAGTTCAATAATCTACAGTGGACAGAACTAATAAAGCCATCAATGTAAAATGGATATAGTGAAATACTGGCAAATACGCCACTGGTATTTTCCATATTTTACCATGGAAAAAATATTAACGAGTGTGCTTTCTCGTAAGACCCAGGCTCATTCCAAAAATAATAAAGACAATATTTTACTGGCTGCCCTCGTTCATACTGTTTTCACCACACGAAGTCATATTTTCACGTTGCCATGAAATATTATGTTAACACACACACACTTAAAATTAGAAATGTACTATTAGAAATGTACAAAAGTACGAATATACAAAAAGTTTTACCTTGTGCGCTATCAGTCGATAAAGACCGTATATTTCTGACAGTCTTGGGTTAGAGCCTGCCGTTCCTGGTAGGTGCTGCTTGAACCAATTTATGTGTTCAGCGGACCTCTCGTTGTTCATCAAAAAGACAATGCGGCGAAGCCAAGGAAAATATTTCTTGTTTGGCTTCCAAGATGTGATCGGCGGGCTCGTCCTCCGACGTAACCAACTTTTTAAACCAAATTGGCGTTGTTCTTTCAAATGATCTACAATATTGGGAATATTATGTCTATTACTATCAACAAATTGCTCGTGCTAAACTACTATTATAGCCATTTCAACCTGATCTTCAGGTTTAAATGATATTACCTCAGGTCTCCGTCCATTTCAAAGTTACATGTTAGTATAAATGCAGTGATCGGTTTTTCATTGCCACGAGCCTGGGTTTGGTTGCCACAGCCATTGAAGACCGCCGCGAGTGGTGAGCGGACAGTGTGGGCGAAGGTTGGGTCATCCCAGCCTAGTGGGAATGTCGTCTTCGTCAGGTCGCTAATAACAGACTCCGAAGATGATTGCGATACTGTACGCATGCCAACAAGTTGACCCACTAGTTTAAGCGCAGTGGATTTTCCACACGAATTTTCGCCAATTGCAGTGGGTACTGGACATGAACCTGGAAATAAATTTCAAAACAATTTAACGTGCACATAGCGATAAATTTAAGATAACGGATATCTGTTATGGAGTCTCGATAGTCTTTTGCCTGAAGTTTCCAACAATGTTATGGTTATATAGAGGATATTTGTAGACCGTTGCAAAGAGATGGATTTTATGTTCTCGTGTCAAGGCCCTCTATGGACAGAGTGACAAAAATACACACAAAGACAACATGTAAATAAGCGCGCGAAAGACCAGCATAAAGCAATATTTTTTTTAAATTATAGTGCAAACACAAAAGTAGAATAAATTTTACTTATCTCAACATGTCTTTTAAATGTTTTCGTTTTATTTGCAACGTTAATTTCGTTTTAAAAACGAACCAAAGACCATTTGTATTTTCAAAACAACAACAATGAAAATGGCGGGAAATTTTCGAACTTTGTATGTCACTAGCAGGGGTGAATGTAGTGACGTATGAGTTCTACGAGTGTTTTAGTTTCCAGTAAAACACCATTGTCCATATAATAAATAACGATATTCAACTGGTGAATATCGAAGATAAAGGACATACTGTGTGGGTAGGGAAGTATAGGCCTAGAGCAAACAGAGTAAGCCAACAGCGTTAATAGCGAAGTCTCAGAAAAGCGCGGGAAAACTAAACCTAATTTGAAGGTTATACATTGTCCCCAAACAATGTTTGGATACATTTATACGTTGTTTGCCTTACCCAGCCAATTCACAACTTGTTCATAATGGAAAAGTGCAAGTGCACCACTCAAGAAATTGATGAATGGCATGAAATTGCTCTTAAAAAACGATTTTGCCTTTCGTATGAACAGCTTCCAATTAAATGACTGAAATGGAAGGCTAACGAGTACTTGGTTGTGGTCGTACAGGTACTTGAGCACTTTCTTGTCTGAAATTGCGCGAGGAATTGCGACGAGAAACGGCACCATCCACCTGTGCGTCCAATTTTCTTTCAAGATAACTCCGTTCTTGTTAATCTATGGGAAAATGATGAATCAGTCATTATTCAAAAGACTAAGCTAGAAAGTGCTAGGCTTGAACTTAAACTAATTGGAAATAAATTTTACCTGCAGATTCTCATTTAAAATGTATACGGACGTTTCATAGTCGTCCTTTTCAATCACACCGTTCTCGTCAAACTGCCCATCCGCATTGACCTTCTTTGGGTTCAGCTGACGACCGAGGGTCAAGACTCCAGTAACTCTTCGATTGACGTTAGTCACGAAATCTTCCACCATGTCCATCAAATAGCTGATCAATTGGTTATCTTTGATGTCCTGAGAGAACACCCCACCGCACTCACTGAATGTTCGGTTGATGGCCGACTTAAACTTGACTGCCCCCGCCATTTCTTCAATCAAAACAAAACATTCCCTAAAAACAATTACAAAAGCCTTAATAAAATGCTTTAAACCTTTAAAACTTTTTGTAACATGGTTTTGATGTTTTGAGTTTCAATAAAGCTCTTCAACTCGATAAAACGACCACCAGTCGCTTCTACCTAAAGGCCCTCAGTTGCCATAGATGACGTCATCCAATATATTCACCCTTCTGACTATCCATGTGGTCAAAGATTGGACCAGCCACATCAGGGCATTTGCTCATTTCACGTTTCCCAGGGGACAGGGTGGGTCATTTCAAAACCAACATTTGCCCAGATGGAGGCAATTGAAGCACAGTGTGATTGAAGTTAATTAATCAAAATCAGTATTTGTCTCATTTAATTCAAAACATAAAAATTTTAATAACAAAAAAGACAAGCTTAGCCTGAAGTAGTTGAGCCAAGCTTAGCCTGAAACAAGAAGTAGTTGCATAGTTCGCAAGTGCTCACACGATATTTATAGACCGGCAGCCAAGGGTGTTTGCTTAAATGAAAAGGGCAGTGGCGTAACGTTATATCAGGGGGCCTCCGGTTCAAAATTTTCGAAGGCCCCCCTCATGGTATAAGTGCCAAAAGCACGAGTCGACCGCCGTATATGCACAAGTTTTTTAGGGGGTCCAGGACATGCTCACCCGCTTTTGCAGAATTCTGATGGAGTGATGATCAGAAAACGACATTGTAATACATCGGGAGTCTTGAGAAAACGACATTGTAACACATCAGAAGTCTTGGCCAATGTTTTTGCCCTACAGCCTGTGGGGGCCCCCATTTGGCCCAGTAGTTACGCCACTGGAAAAGGGTACCAATTTTTTTATGCTTATAGTAGTGATCTATGTACTATTTAAAACATGAGTAGGAGTGTTTTATCAGATATAAAACGTGAGGCGCAGCGGAGCGTTTTATATCTGATAAAACACGACAACGAGTATTTTGAATAGCTTAAAATACGACTACAAAAGAATACTAATTAGGATGAACCATTATATAATCATACTAATTAGGATGAACAATTATATAATGCCTCATGCTTTAACAGATATAAAGTCACTCCACGTGACATATTATGGCCGACATGATTTGCCACAAGGTTTATGAATTATTAATGAGTATTTTAAATACACAGTAATATCTGGTGATATGTAAAAGTGATCTTCTGCCCAACACATGGTGTTGAATATGGTCAGAGGAGGGCATGAGAAAATCAATCTTCTATTCAATTGGATTCAATCACAAGAAAAATAAATTGCATTTAAACAGAAAGCTAAAGCTAACAACAGTTTTTTCTCAAATTGTTTTCGAATTATACGTTGTCAAGCTTTGTCAAAAACCTAGTACCCAGTCCTTTTTGCGAGCATTTGGTCCAATCTTCACATTTAAAACAGCAATAACTCAATAACTATTTAAAGAATGACAAATCTGTTTAAAAGTCTTATGTGTAGTTTTTTTGTAAGCTTTTTGATAATGTAAGTCATTTTTATTGTGATTAAAAACAAAATTTAAATTTTGTTTTACTGCAATACAGTTTAATAGAAGATCGATTTTCTCATGCTACGCACTACTTTTAAGTATTGCAGCGTAATCGAACCGAACGTCAGAAGCTCATTATTCCCGAAATTTTGGCTGAAATAATTTTTCATTGACTTCAGCGAGAAGAGCAAGTTTTAGGGCTGTTTTCGCGTGAAACTTGGTGTTTTTAGAAGCTTTCGTTGCGGCAGAGTTTGAGTTTTTATCGTGTGTCGTGGGTAAAAAGTCGTGCGTCGTGGGTGAAAAGTCGTGCGTAAAAGTCGTGGGTCGAAAAATGCTCTAAATTTCCATTTTTTGCTCAGACACTGCTTTGGCTAACATAATTTCTGTTTTAGCAAAACGCGTGTAAGGGAACAAATGTCCAACTGAATATTTAACCGAAATTCGTCATATTACGCGTTCGAAAAAGTCAAGAACGCAGCAGGATATGGCCAGGCGGCAAGGAACTGAAGGAATGTTGTGACGCAATTAAAGGAAACCTTAATTACAATTTACAATGCGCAGAACACCTAGTAATCCGACAAAAAACATGCATAAACACCTAGTATAAATCGCAGATATCCGACACAAACGATATCAAGCGTTATGTCTTGCGTATAAGCAGTAATTTTAGCTGCTTTGAATTGATTTCTGCTCTACTTGAACAAGTTATAAATTCGTTTCAGAACAACAATTTAGTTGATGACTACGTATCTCTTAAAAATTACAATGTAATGTATGCCAAACATGAATCACAATTCGTCATTGCGTTATTTGCGTAAATAATCATTGCCTCAATAAGTGAGTGATAAGCGTAATAACTAATATTCAGTACATTGTACTATTGGTAGCTGTACTGAATACAAAGAATATAATGTATTTCTTGCTTTTTTTCTGATTACACCAATGTTATTGCGCAAATGTTATTTCGGATATCACGCATTGTAATTATATAAATGCAAACTGCCTAGTTTTCTGGACGTGAGAAGGTGAAGAAGACTGGGAATGTCCTAGTTTTTTGTGCGCAGGGGTCTGAGAACGTCCTAGAATTACCTTATTTGGAAAAAAACTAGGCTGTTGTCGTCAAAAACTAGGACGTTCCCAGACTCCAAAATACCAATCGCGCGTAATGACGTTGTTTTAATCTAAATCTAGACATGTTGACAGAATAAAAACATTCCTAAAACAGAGATTATTAATATACTACGGAAACAGCTTTACATAGGGTATTAAAATAGCAGAATATTTCGAAATTAAGCACGATAATGTAGAATACACGTACACAACACAAACTGACAACCGATTTTGTGACCTATATCAGAGCGTCCTAGTTTACGCTTTCTGGTTGCCTAATTTTTCAATTTTTACCATTTTTTTCCCTAAAATTGGAAAATTTATGAGATTGGGTTCCCAGGCACAACTGGCCTCATTTGGAACCTTGGCTTAATTTCCAAAAAGTGAAGATCGTATACTTACATTGACGTCCCATCTATGCGGTTAACGTCGAGAATGTAACCGTTCAATTTATTTTTCCCTGGGAATGTGACTAGGGTCTGGATGCTAAAATAGAAATTCGCGATCCGTTTGTAGCGCCGATCACCAATCTTGGAATGCAGTGAACGTACACCGTCCTTGTCTTCTCGCACGGACAGTCCTTTGACAGGAGATCTTGACGCACACATACCTTATAATAAAATAAGTTTTCTAAATAAGTGACGGCAATGTTTACAAACCATAAAGGATGTCATGGATAGATCAAATTGATAAAGTTTTGTCTTGTTTAAAAAATACATACCGTGTATATTAAATCGCTGACTCTTGACAACTGCAAGGAATAGTTGTGTGTGCGCGCTCCCAGATAGCTGAATGCTAATGATGGTCATAGAATACTTATATTTCGATTGGAAATCTTCCAATGCCGGAACCACGTGAGCTTGATGGAGAAGCCAATGAGCGATGAGAATGATCGACCGATTCAAATCGTAATGTAGGCCAATCCCCAGCAAAATTTTTTAGCTCGCTTTCCGAAAAAGAATAGCATATACATACTGTAGTTTGAAAGCAATTTTCATGATATAAAATTACGCTTCTGTAACTCAAAATGGAGTTACAAAAAAACCAAGCAACTCGTTTAAACGTCTTTAATATAGGCTAGACGTTAGCTAGTACGCAACAATACAGCTAGTAAATGTTATATTAACATTCTCTGGGTACGCCGGTACGTTAGTACACCACCATAGAGCTAGTAAATGTTATGTTAACATTCTCTGGGTACGCCGGTACGCTAGTACACCACCATAGAGCTAGTAAATGTTATATTAACATTCTCTGGGTACGCCGGTACGCTAGTACACCACCATAGAGCTAGTAAGCGTTATGTTAACATTCTCTGGGTACGCCGGTACGTTAGTACACCACCATAGAGCTAGTAAATGTTATATTAACATTCTCTGGGTACGCCGGTATGCTAGTACACCACCATAGAGCTAGTAAGCGTTATGTTAACATTCTCTGGGTACGCCGGTACGTTAGTACACCACCATAGAGCTAGTAAATGTTATATTAACATTCTCTGGGTACGCCGGTACGCTAGTACACCACCATAGAGCTAGTAAATGTTATATTAACATTCTCTGGGTACGCCGGTACGCTAGTACACCACCATAGAGCTAGTAAGCGTTATGTTAACATTCTCTGGGTACGCTGGTACGTTAGTACACCACCATAGAGCTAGTAAGCGTTATATTAACATTCTCTGGGTACGCCGGTACGTTAGTACACCACCATAGAGCTAGTAAATGTTATATTAACATTCTCTGGGTACGCCGGTACGCTAGTACACCACCATAGAGCTAGTAAGCGTTATGTTAACATTCTCTGGGTACGCCGGTACGTTAGTACACCACCATAGAGCTAGTAAGCGTTATATTAACATTCTCTGGGTACGCCGGTACGCTAGTACACCACCATAGAGCTAGTAAATGTTATATTAACATTCTCTGGGTACGCCGGTACGCTAGTACACCGCCATAGAGCTAGTAAATGTTATTAACATTCTCTGGGTACGCCAGTACGCTAGTACACCACCATAGAGCTATTAAATGTTATATTAACATTCTCTGGGTACGCCGGTACGCTAGTACACCACCATAGAGCTAGTAAGCGTTATATTAACATTCTCTGGGTACGCCGGTACGCTAGCATAGAGCTAGTAAACGTTATATTGAAATTCTCCGCAATTGTTATAGTACAAGTAAATGTAAATGTTATATTGGCATATACAGTAGTAGCGCATAAATATTCCAGATTTCAAATTGCATTATAAGATATTTTTATATTTATGAGAATAACCAATCAATAAATTTATTGGATAATTGCGCCGATTATATAACAAACCCTATAAAACTCGGTACGCAGGTACGCCTACCGACAACAAAAAAATAGAACCTTTCGTATATTTCAGGCATGGTATATCCTGGGCGGCGAGTATAGGTTTCGGCCCGCATTTTTCTCGGATAGTGGATCGTGGATCGATAGCCACAAAATAGAATATTAATGAGCTGCCTAATTTCCCCCCAATTATCCATAAGGCTCCTGCCAATTTTACCCAAATTATCCATAAATAGCCCTCCATTTTGAGGAAAATTCGGGAAAATTTAACAATTTTACAAGGAATTTCACATGGAAACAGCAACATTCGCAAATCGCAAGTTTGATAAAAGTTTGTACATTTGACTGTGCTGCTTTATATTTTGAGAAGAAAGTGACACTGTTTGATTCAGCGTAAGAAATTGTATTTATGGATGTCAAATGTATTACTAAACACCCATATTCTAGCGATTTATGGCCTTTGAAAATGAAGCGAAATTGTATTGTTGAGAAATCGCTCGCAGAACGTATTGTTGATCACAAATCACTCGCACTACGTTTGTCCACAGGTTTGTCCTTGTATTTGTAATGCCTATAATGGCGCAATAAGGATAAAAATACCACCATTCGATTCAGCGTAAGAAATTGTACTTACAGGTGTCAAATAGGCACCAGTATTCTAGCAATTTATGGCCTTTGGATTGAAAATCAAGCGAAATTGTATTTGTTTACAAATCGCTTGCAGTACGTTTCATAGTGTATTTGTAATGCCTAATGGCCAAATAAGGATAATAATATCATGATTGCGGGTATTCCCTTTGTTCTCGCAGGGCAATTGATAACTAATACACCTCATTATATTCATTTTTTCTAATCCTACCCGCTTTTACGTCATGTCAGGTAGAATTAGTTCTAATCCTACCCGAAACAACGTCAAAGCGGGTACGATTCGAAAAAATGAATATATCTGAAATCGCCAAAACTAAACAAAGACATGGAAAACAATTATACAATTTAATTTATTGTTAATTGTTTTTTAATGGCCCTGCGAGAACAACGGGAATACCCGCAATCATGATATATTGATATTATAAGGTAATAGCATAAAAAGAGGCGAATTAGCTATTGAAAACGTCCCGCCCGATGAGGGTCGTTTAGTAAAATTCCCTTGGGCGCCGCTTACTAAATCACCCTCATCGAGCGGCGCCCAAGGGAATTTTACTAAACGACCTTCATCGGGCGGGACGTTTTAATAGCTAATTCGCCTCTTTTTATGCTATTACTTATAAAAATACCACCGTTCAATCCAGCATTAGAAATTGTACTAATTACGAATGTCAAATGTATTACTAAACAACAGTTCTAGCGATTTATGGCCTTTGTCTTTGAAAGCCAAGCGAAATTGTATTGTTGAATTATAAAAAAATGCAGTACATTTGACCCTTGATAACTTTGGTATCATTGGTTTTCTCTTTTTCGACCATATACCAGTGGATTCATATCACTTCTCGCTTCATTTTGATAGTATCTTGAGCCCAAAAGCCTCAAAATATTTTATTTTGAACGTTTTAAAGTGCAGTTTAATCCTAGACCAACTGGCGGCTGACAGTTTTGAAGATGAGTTTAGCAATCAGACCTGTACATCTAATAATAGTTTTCAGAAGTGAGCAGATGTGGTTCTTCCATGTCAACTCTTCGTCAATTATAACTCCTAGAAACTTTACAAACGTCACTTGGTTAACCAAATCATTATTTATTTTGATTGTATTATCTGTGTTCAGTAAAAAACAACGTCATTTTCTCGACGTCGCATTACCAACGTTGAAATGACGTCGAAAAAGGTTCGAAAACGCAAAGCGAATCAACGTTGGATTTGCAGAAATGCACATATACAATTTTGTATAAAAAATATATTGATTATCTTAATCATAATTACATAAACTACTATACAAAGTCGTTAATTGATGCTAGCCAGATCGTTATTACACACAGCGTGTCAAAAAAAAACGGAACAAAGGAATTATGCACTTGTCATCGGCTTCCCCGAGGGGTCGACCCCCGGGCTGACCACGGGATGTTGTGGGAGAATACACGTAGATTGCAACAAAATTCTTCCCCAGAGTCGGGAAAATCATAACACTTTGTTCTACCACTTAAAAAGAGGGTGGGGGAATTGCTTTTTTGAATTTTACCCACGGGAATATGACGGGGAAATTTTTAAAGGAAATATTTTCCAAATATGTCGGAAATTAAGGAATTGCGTGGATAGCTTCGTTTCCAGAGCTTCCATATTGACAGAAATTTCCTTTTCAAAGGAAATTTTGGCTTTTATGAAAATGAAGGAAATGTGAAAGAAATTTAAAATCGAAGGAAATTTGAAGGAAATTTAGGAAAAAATAGAAAATTTGAAAGATTTTTCAAAATTAGCTGAAAAAAATCAAATGAGCACATGTTTTTAACCACTTTTTCTGCCATGATTTTGCATAAATCTACATATAAATGGCAAAATTCGTAAAAGAAAATTTCAATATTTTTGAAGGAAATTAGTCCAAATAAGGAAAAAATAAGGATTTTTCAATTTTTGAAAGTGGAAGCACAGTTCATTTCTTCAAGATGGCGGAAATCACTAGCGTGGAAAGTGGCGTGGAATTGCAAGATGGAATCAAAAGGTAATTTTTTAAAAATCCTTAAATTTTTTGGGTTAAAATCATACATCCACCAACTTTCTAATCCACTTTCAATTCAGTATGAAATTACAAATTTGGTATTTTACATATTTTAGTATGCAAATATATTAAAAGTATTTTAAAAATTTGGTATTTTACATATTTTAGTATGCAAATATATTAAAAGTATTTTAAAACAAGTATGCAAATGTGACTTCCTGTATATTTGAAAAAAACAACAAACAAACGCTCTTGATTCTTTATTTTAAACAGCATTTCACTGATTTGAATACAAGCATGGTACAGTTAATAATACATTAATATTTATTTATAATATATTTCATTTTGTCAAATATAGGTGTTGTTACAGTTGGGAGACAGAAAAAAAATCATTAAAATACATGAAAGTGACAGTCAAACATTCGAGCAATTGATTATTGAAGTAAAAAATTGTTTCAAAATTCCCGAAAATACAAAGGTTTATCTTAAAAAATTTGACTGTGAATGGAACGACTATATTGAAATTGATAACATAGATGACGTTACTGATAAAGACAGGCTAGTAGTGGAACAGGAAAGTATTAGCATTGTGGCAGAAAAACAGGTAGGCTTCATAATTTGCTGAATCGCCATGGGCAAAGCTGATTTGGTGTCATACACACCCAACTAGTATAGACCTGCCTCCCTGGCAGTGAATTCTAGAGCAAAGAATGAATGAAAATGAAGGGGAAAACACACAAGAATATTACTATAAACAGAACAGTCTTTGAAATTAAGCGCATCTGTTTGACCACTGTACTATGTCGGCTTTCTTACAAATTTCTCATATTTTACTGGTTAAATTTTTAACAACCTAGCAAAATAGCAAAATTCCTTAAACCTATTTTGATTTCAAGACAAATAGTCACAATGTAGAAATTAAAAAGTACCTTTGTTTTTGTTTGTCAAGGTCCAGAGTAATCAGAGTGTGCAGTATTTGTCCCAAGGAGGTGAATGTTTTATGTGGTTTGTTACATGTATTTTTATGTAAGGAAAATTAAAATGTTTCGCCTTTTTCATTGCTACAAATCCATTTTACACCATTAGAAAGTGGAGAATTACCATAGAAATTTATAAAACTTTTATTGATAAATTATCATTTTCCATGTGAGTTATATGTTGTAATGTTTACTTTTAAAGTAGAAAAGACGCAGTCTAAACAAAGAACATTGGTTGGGCAGAGTGGGACACTTTCCCTTGGAGAAGTTAGTGAAGTAAGTCATAATAAATGTATCGTTAATCTGTGTCTGTATATTATATGATACATGTAAAAATTTTACTTTATCTTTAAATTTAAATTCTCTGAAAATATTATTCTATTATTAGGTTAATGAAGTTAATGTGTCTGATGAGACAAGCACAGTCACAATCGACTCTGCATATCTAGAAAAGGAAAGTAAAATCTATGGTCGAAGTGGCAATTTGGTCGATTTATCAGAGTACCAAAAAGCAGTTAACGATGCAAGTTTGGAATTGGCAAAACAAGATTGTTCATTGTTGCAAGATCGAGGAGGGTTGTTTGCCCGTGCAAGAAAGAGAGTTGATGATGAAGGCTACAGTTATAAAAAAAAAGTTTCTCGATCTACTGCCTTTGGAAAACAGACTACCCAATCAAAACAAACGAAGAAACGTCAGTACTTGCACAATGAGATGAGAAAAGATCAAATTCAAGAGTTATCAGGCGCAATTCAAAACCACAATGAAACTATTAGTCTTTTGGAAAAACAAAAACAGAAATATTCGAATACAGAAAAGTTCCTGGAAGCTGCAGAAATTAATAAGTCAATTTTGGAAATTCACCAGGAACGACAGTTAAAAACGAAAGAGTTGGCCAAGTTGGAAAAAGCTGAGACAAAATCAAGAAATTCCAAGAAGAGAAAGACTTCATCTACTGAAAGAAAATCCAGTAAATCAGGAGCACTGACAGAATGGCTATTCAGTGATGATACCTCAACTCAAAGAAAATCCAGTAAATCAGGAGCATTGACAGAATGGCTATCCAGTGATGATACCTCAACTGAAAGAAAATCCAGTAATTCAGGAGCATTGACAGAATGGCCATCCAGTGATGACACCTCAAATGTTATTGATCTCGATAAGGATGATGATAATAATGAATTCGAGCAAAAAGATGTCCAGAATGTGTTGGAAGGTGATTCAATGAGCGAAGTTCAGGAAGATGTAGAGGTATCCTCCAACCAGAACGTGCATTTTTTATGACTAAACGTGTAGATAGAAAGAATGCTGTTGAGTTTATAGACACTGACTATGCCGACTTACACTCTGAAAAAATTTATTGTAAATATTTAGCTTATGTTGGGAAAAATTTATCAGAGGATGTTAAACAAGAAGACATGTATATATCACACATCAAAGATATTTCCTTATCGGAATTTCAAATTGCACGAAAGATGTACTGTTTAAAAAAGCATGGCGATGTAGAATCATGTGCCACCTGTTCAATCCTAATCGATGCTGCAAAAATTGTGGAGAACAAGTGTGTGATACCAGTGAAAAATCTGTTTTGTTTGCAGTTTGATTCAGCTCTTTACAAATCTGATAAAGCTGTGCGGCGTTATATGCAATTGCCCATAGTTGTCATGAAGCTTAAGGGGATTTTGTATGCTATGGAGTATACTCCCCAAACGGACTTAATCAAACTCCAAGTCATGATTGGTAAACTAATTCCACAAGAGAAATTATCTTTTGGCTTAAACCGGGAGGCACTGAAAGCCTTGTGCGACCTTGCAAGCTCTGAAAGTGACAGAAAACTGATCAAAGTTGCGGCTACAGCGGGAGTGTCTGCCTCAAAAGCTAAATCAACTTTTGGTATATCGAATTTGCATAAAGTGAGAGACGAAGTGGCACAGGCAGTGAATGAATATATGAACATCCGAAAGGTTGTTGATGAAATAGTAAGTGCTAAAGAAGATGCAGTTCTAGAATCTTTTGGAATTTATGTAGAAGAAAGCAGTTCTGATGAGGAAAGTGATGATGAAAAATGTTGTGAAAGCGACGTTACGGATACTACTCCATTACAAGAGTTGCTGATAAGTAATGAATCTAGCACTGCTGATCAATTTACTGATGACACTAATACCCCATCAAATCAGTCGTTACTACATATTTTGAAACAAAACGATTTTAACTGGTTTGCATTTCTTTCGCAGTTGGAACTTGTATATCCAGGCATAGCTGACAAAGAGGATTTTCAAAACATGCTAAACAAATTCATTGACTTTGTTAGAATTTCAGACCATACTACACCTGAAAAAGAGGCAATGGAAGAATCTCGTGAAGCATATCTAACAACAAGAGCTCAGGCACTTCAGAAAGAAAGTCATATACCTGGTGAGGTATTAACAGATGAAGAAAGCGATGACCCCGAGGATTGGGTAAACCTGAAAAGAACAAATAATTTACATGGTAATGAATTTCAGGAAAAAGTCAAGAAGAAGAAAGCTGCTTTTTCTCGTCTAAAAAAAAGAATGCTTGCAAGAGAAGTGACAAAAACAGCTTTGCTTAAGAGAAAGGTTCCAAAGGCTGTCAGTAAAACTGTTATGAAATTTCCAAACATTGGAAAAGAAATCGAGAGCTTTGCGAGGCAAAACCGTGTTGGGGCAGATGCATGGAGGCGCACAGGCGTACTCACTTTTAGTGGAAATACAAAAAAGGGGCCGAAAGTAACGTACATGCGTTTAAAAAGGCATTTAGAAAAGACGTATTCTACTAAAATTGGTTATGGTACAGTTGTTCAACTTTGTCTGGTGCATAATAAAAGACGGTTGTCAGCGCGTAGGTACTGGGGAGTAGCGGGCCTCAAGTCTCGGCGTGCAAGAAAGGGATTTAATGTACGTCTGAATATAGACGCACACTGGAGCTGTGCGTTTTATAAGTGTTTGGACTATGTTCAACTTAAAGATGGAAGAAATAAGTTTATCTTAAATAGAGATGATGCGGCGGGCTTTCGATTGGACACGACGTATACACACAATCAACATAAAATTCTCGGTGAAGCTGAACGGCCCGAAGTCACAACACGAACGGATTATGTAAATAAGTACAATTCGATATTGCAGACAACGTCTTATTTGTTTATGGCTACCGATAACACAGCAGAAATGCCAGTCGGTATTGTAAAAGCACAGAAAGTTTTCCCGAAAAACCCGGCTCAGCATGCAGCGGATTTTCAAATGCTCCTCAAACAACCTGCTATTGAACCCATCCTGCAGAATAAAGATATTGATTGTATTCGAGTAGACGGGGCAGCAGACGAAGGTCCCAATCATTTAGAAGTGCAATTTATGTGGAGCGAATGGCATTTGAAAATGAACAAAACCTGCACCATCGTTACTTCTCGATATAGTGGTGGGAGTTATTTGAACCGTGTAGAGTTATTGAATGGATGTTTAACGGTTGGACATTCTAATGTGTTTATTCCCTCAACTATTCTTGGTTCTAATTTTAACGCTGAAGGAATTGACCAGGACAGGTTAGAATCTAACCTTGGTGCAGCTACGGAGACCTACATTAACAGTGTTTCTGGAACGAAATGCTCTGGTAATCCCATTTTGTTGTTAAAAGGATGTTGCGATGATGTTTCAAGGAATAATCATGAAAGACGAGATCGTTTGCTCACATTTCTACAAGGATCAAAGAAAAACCAGCTATTATTCAAAAAGAATTATCCGGACGAATACAAGTATTTCACGAATGTATGGGATGTGAGGAATAACCACATGGTGAAAGACCTGCCGGACAACTACATTTTTATACTCCTGCCATGCTACCAGAAGAAATGTCATCACCCGCGTTGCCGTGAAGGGAAACCAAGTTCGCCACCTGTTTGGTTTGAAGGTGGGCCATCACTTACGACTATACCTCTTCCAATTCCACATCCTGAAAAACGATGGGGAGGTAAATGCGATAAGTGTGTAAGTTTCTGCCGTGGCCATTATCTTGACCCTGAAAAAACAATTCAGTTGATTAAAGAAAAAGGACTAGGATGTTGTGCTGAGCCTCCCAGAGAAGTAGTAAGAAAATATTTCGACAATAGTTCTGAAGAGATCACGGATGCTGATATTAAGAACTTGGCGAAAAACACTTTGCTCAGCGAGTCCGATGTTAGTTTTTGGATTGAGCATCTTAAGAATATTAAACTAAGAAGGAAACGAGGAGCAAAAAAGGCGGCAGAAACAAGGAAAAGAAAACAAGCACAAAGAAACAAAGGTAAGCGCGCAGTGGTAAATTGCATCACAGCGCCGTAAGTTCGATTCCTGCCAGCTAGGACCTGTTGTTGCATTTTTCGCAGCTGTGCGTGGTTAGCCGGTCTAAAAATGTATATAATTTTCTACTCGATCTTTTCCATTTACAAAACCCGTCAAATTGTATCACACCCTTTCGATATTACGTCACTTATACTTTTTTTGGCCTGTAAGCATCTCTTTTCATTTGTAAAAGACGTAAGGCTATTGGCCAACAACCCATGAGAACGAGTAATCCAGGCTAAGTGACGTAAATGTCAAAACGGTGCATAGTTTCATGCATTTATGTGATCATATTGCAGATACATGGCATATGAAATAAGTGGTGATTGAAATTTATTTTGCTGAGCTTTCGATCCATTAAGTTGGCAGTGCCTTAACTTAACGTTGATAATAAAAGAGTCTGGGCATTCCAAATTGTTTCAAATGTACATTTGATGGGGTTTTTTTTTACGTTTTCAGAGAGTATAGCTGAAAAGGATTTATCGGGAGACGTTGATTCACGAGCAGAAAACGATTCATCGGGAGACCTTAATTCACGAGTGGAAAAAGATTCACGAGCAGAATTGCACTGCATCTGTAATGAAGCAGATGACGGAAGGTATGGTCTTCATAATAACAGACCAACTAGCCATACTATAAACCCTTTCCTACTTGTTTAATATGCTGTTTTGTTTGATTGTTTCGTAACTCTTTTAGAGCACCATTGTTTGTAAACTAGTGTCAGCCCCCAATTCAGTTAGAATAGATTATCAAACTTAAACTCTGCTGAACACCTCTCCCTTTGTTTTCTCTCATTCTTAGGTTCATGATATGTTGTGACAGTTGCGATGTCTGGTTCCATGGCAATTGTATTAACCTCACGGAGCAAGAGGCAGAACTACTGGAAAACTTTTATTGTACAAATTGTACCACTTAGATGCTTTGCAACCTTTTGCAGCATGTTTTGACTTTAAATGTTTAAAGTTCGCTTTTCTGAGGTTTCATGCATTTCGATGTAATTTTATATTATAAAAGTTGGTTTCATCTTAGCGAAAATTATCGCGTGATCTACTATCTATTGCCGTCAAGTTATCGACGCACGTCACACAATGATCAGGTAGCATCATAACGCGGGATACGAGACTGGTTATATTAATCGGCCCATAAAATGCATATCAAAGATATCATACTTGTCTCTCACTTTTAACACTAGAGGGTCACTAGCGATTTTAATATTGTTGTGTTTTACAGTTCAAAATAAAGGTATAAGACAGTATAATCTATGTTCATTTTGTATATGTTATACCGTATTAAATTATAGCATAAATATGTAAAATGTTTAGTATTTTCTTCAAATCCAGTGTCAAAATACCGATGATTAGATTTTATCTTTTGGATTATCGAATGATTATGTGTATCATGAGATTTTATAAGTAGGCCTTTTTATTAGCTTAAAAGACGCTGGGGGGGGGGGAATTCACGACAGGTAAGGAAATGACCACGGGACTTTGATCTCTTATGTTCCCCCACCCCCCGGGAAATTCATTAAGATTGCATCCCCACCTTGGACAATCCCCGTGGTCAGCCCGGGGGTCGACCCCTCGGGGAAGCCGATGACAAGTGCATTATATAAGAGACTATTGACAGGTGTATGACAGGTGTCCCTGAATTGAAACTATTCCAGGTGTCCCTGAAGCTGTTTGGACTTCAACTTTTCATAAGCTTTATATAAATCCTGGGGTTTTTTTTTCAAAAGTTTGGCTTTGCTGAAGAATTACACCCTGAAGTGAATGAAATTTTCCCTTCCACTGGGTTTGAGTGTGGAACAACCAATCTTCCCATAGGTCTCCCGCAAAGGTCTTTTATTTAATAAAAATTCATACAATTTGCTTTAAAATACAATGCTTTGACATACAATGCTTCAATGTACAGTAAAACCTCTATAATTTGTATTACATGAAGTACGTGCAACATCACAATAGCGTTGTGTGGTCCATAGATATCTCATATACACTACACGGTAAAAAACGCCGAGCCCGTTGCTCAACAGGACTGAACAATGTTTTGCTGCCCACGTTGTTCACACTTGTCAACAATATTGAACAATGTTGTTGAGCCTGAATCGGGTGTAACAATATTGTTCAATATTGTTGACAACTGTGAACAATGTGGGCAGCAAAGCATTGTTCAATCTTGTTTTCATCAGTATTGCAACAACCTGATCGTTTTTTGCCGTGTAGATAGCGCATCCCACCCTGTAGGCAGGCGAAAATTGAAGCCTGATCGCAGTCGCAGTTTACGTGCGGCGGCCATATTGGTCGTTCCCACGGAGCGCAGCGCTTCCATTTTCAAGGAAATTTCCTTTTCTAAGGAAATTCTAGTGTTGAAAAGGAAAATCTAAGGAAGAGAAAAAATCTAAGGATTTTTCCCGAACAACTTAAATATTGATCCAAGTGCATTAGTGCAGAGGAAAGTTTCACTTTTTTTAAAATTTTTGAGTGAATTATCAACTATGTTTAATTAAAAATTTGTTTTTAACTTTTTCCCCGTGTTTCCGAAACTCCCAAAAGCTTTTGAGCGATGGAATTTAGTAACTTTTGGCGCCAAACGCTGTGAATAATTAATTATTTATATCAATGGAAACGTATATGTTGTGAACTCATAACAAATATTTAATTTTAAACAGTATAATAGCCTGTGGATTTTTAGCTAGCAATTATCTTTGTTAATTGTGCTATTTTGTGCCTTTAAAATTGATTAAATCCTTTGTATTGCTACAAAAGCACTGCAAACTGCCTAATGAAATTTCAAGGAATTTTCAAGGAAATAACGTATACAATCTAAGGAATTTAGAGAAATTTTGATGACAAAAATGAGAAATTTTGATTTTGAAAATGGAAGCACTGACGGAGCGTGATAATTTGTATATTTTGTAAGTTCTTTGAATGTTTGCATGGCGATAAAATATAATTGTTTTTGTTTGTGGAAACACCACAAACAAAGTATATATAAATATAGTTCCACCAATTCCAAATAAACATTTTGAGCCATCGCCATTGCTTCATGGCAAAATTGTGAATGTATTTGCATATTCTTTTGTAAAAGACAGCGACACTGAAAAACATATTTTAGTCATAGTTTATCAATGGCAAAAATAGACTTAAAATCTTAAATAGTCAATATATAAAACATTGACACCAAAAATGGTTCTTACTCCTTACTATTTGTATATTTATTACATACATACAACATCATATATTATTCCATGGGGAATCACATCAAGATTATTAGAAACTATAGAGAAGAATAATTGCAACTTAATGTATTCGCAGGCAATATAACATCATTGCTATTGGTATTGCGAAAATGGACAAAGTTGACAATAAATCCTCTTTTATGCAGTCAATTTTGGTTTTTCAAGTGTGCAATTTGTTGTAAATGATGCCAGATCGTTGGAGCTTCATATTGTGAATAACGGGTAGGCAGAATTTAATTTTTTTTCCGAAAATATCAATATTTGTCGACCCGTATGAAGGGCGCCCATAGGACAAACCCTATGGACAAACCATCATTGTTGATGTATATATAAATATAGTTCCACCAATTCCAAATAAACATTTTGAGCCATCGCCATTGCTTCATGGCAAAATTGTGAATGTATTTGCATATTCTTTTGTAAAAGACAGCGACACTGAAAAACATATTTTAGTCACAGTTTATCAATGGCAAAAATAGACTTAAAATCTTAAATAGTCAATATATAAAACATTGACACCAAAAATGGTTCTTACTCCTTACTATTTGTATATTTATTACATACATACAACATCATATATTATTCCATGGGGAATCACATCAAGATTATTAGAAACTATAGAGAAGAATAATTGCAACTTAATGTATTCGCAGGCAATATAACATCATTGCTATTGCTTTATGTAAATGTAGTTGATAATCAAACTTTCTAAAACCTTCAATTGTATGAATGCTTCAAACTATCTTTAATATTTGATGTTAAGAAATATTTCTTTCTGTTGAGTCCTAGACCTTTTGTTTTTAATTCAAGCAATCAAACTGCCAAATTACTGTAATTATTAACAGCATAGGTCAGTAGATTTTATAATCTTAAATACAGTTGTATTCACTATTGTATAAATAATTCTATTGTTATAATAAAGTATTACTTTTGACTTTGTGTAATAGTGTTTTCTCATTCTTTGACTCATCAGATGCACAATAATTAAACTTTTCTAAAAAAATAAAATAAATTTGCCAGTACTCTCAGGAATTGAAAACATGATAAACTCTCAATTTTTGCCTTTTCAGTTTAGTGGTTACTGTAAATATCATTAAAAAATGTCCAATTTTAAAAAAAAATTGGAGACCTGAAGAAGTTTTGGTGCCAATTGAAATTAAAAATTTGAGTTAAACTCAGAAAATTTCATAGCAATGGGTAAAGTCATTCCTGATGCAAAAAGTATAAGAAGTAATAGTGAAGGGTCAAGTGACAGAATCAAAATTCAAAAGAAAACTTCCCAGGACATTTCATCAGTAAGTAATTTATTTTTAGTTTTTTACAGTATACTATTATATTGATTGAAATTAGACTTGCATTAACATGATAAACATCCCTAAGGATGAAGTACTATGAAAACAGTTGATACAAAATGTTCATCAAGAAAAGTGGTCACCCAAAAAGCAGATGTTTATATGTTCTGACCACTTTTGTTCTGGTTGCATTGTCCATACTGTTCTGTTCTCAGAAAGCAGACACTTATATGCTCTGACCACTTCTGTTCTGGCTTCGTTGTTCATTGTCCATATGTTCTGGCTTCATTGTCCATACACAATCTTTTTACTGAGCTAGATCACCATATTTTTGACTCACCAGTTGGTGAAAATCATGTTATATTTCAGTTGAGCAAGAGCATCATCAAGAGTTGCTGTGAGGTTAAATTTTACCATCTTGGAAAAAAGACCACTGAGAATTTATCTGGACAAAAAATTAGAAAGAAATTAAATAAACTTGTACCTTTTACTGTAAGCACCAGTGTGAGTGATTACACAGAATGTATCAGAGAAAGCTAAATATTACTAAAATTTACTATGAAACTGCCCAAGCTGAAAGTGCAGACTCTGCCTCAAACATAATTTTACTAAAGATTTATAGTGATAACTGCCCAAGCTGAAAGTGCAAACTCTGTCTCAAACGTTTCACTAAAGATTTAGAGTGAAAACTAGTTAAACTACCCAAGCTGAAAGTGCAGACTCAGACTGTCTCAAACATTTCACTAAAGATTTACAGTGAAAACTGCCCAAACTGAAAGTGCAGACTCTGTTTTTACAGTATAAACTGCCTACGCCGATAGTCGAAACGTTACTTACCAACTTCCATTTCCATAAAGTGTTGCCAGAAACCGTAAGTACATGTATTGATTAGACGATACTTCACCAGAGAATCACTCACAGATTCAAAACAAGTATATAAAGCCAATGTCGTAATTCGAAATTTTTAGCTTTAAAATGCGATTCAAAGACAACAACATCGCCAATTAATGGGTTTTTTTTGTACCCTTTTCCAAAAAAGCTGCGATTTCAAGGCGTTCGAACGTACCTCAAAAAGGTATGTTTAATCCAGAAATGCAAAAAAGCCTCGAAAAGTATAGTATTTTCTATAGCATTTCATTGATGAGTGGGAACGACCAATATGGCCGCCGCCTATTTTCATGGGGGAAACCGCTGAGATTTTTGGCTTCAGTTTTGTATTCCGAGATGCGCTATCTAGTGTATATGAGATATCTATGGCTCTTCCTCTGAAACAATGCTTGTTTGCGATATCATCCAGCAAGTGCAAAAATGCACTACCACGGTCAAGGATCATTTGGCATGTTCATCGACTATATTAACCTATTGAGTGGCGCCATGCACTCTCCACCT